CCTTATAGTTTCGCCATGTCTGTCTGTCCGTCTGTCCGTCCTCGCTTAATCTCTGTGACCGTTAGCACTAGAAAGCTGAAATTTGGTACCAATATGTGTATCAATCACGCCGACAAAGTGCTAAAATAAAAATTGGAAAAAAATGTTTTATTAGGGTAGCCCCCCTATATGTAAAGTGGGAAGTGATTTTTTTTTTTAATTTCAACCCTAACGTGTGATATATTGTTGGAAAGGTATTTAAAAATGAATAGGGGTTTACTAAAATAATTTTTTGATAATGTCAATAATTTCGGAAATAATCGCTCCAAAAGTAAAAAACAATGTGTCCCCCCCCCTCTAACTTTTGAACCATAAGTATAGAAAATATGAAAAAAATCTGAAAAGTAGAACTTTATAAGGACTTTCTAGGAAAATCATTTTGAACTTGGATGGAAACAACAGTACCCACTAGCGGGAGCAGTTGCAGGAGCGCGGAGCGCTGCTGGAGCGCGAACATAATGGATACCCACCTTTAAACTTATAAGTGGGAGGGAACACTTATTGTGACAGACGGGAAACTACGGAACCCTACACTGAGCGTGGCCCGACACGCTCTTGGCCGGTTTTTTTTTCTTAATTTCTCAGATTGGTTGAGGACCCCGCGATTTCTTTCAACGGCGTGCACATAATTAAATCAGCACTTAAAATTGCAAGTAACTATTATATTGGTGTCAGCGGGGATGGAAAACGGGTTGCTCACGTACTGTGTAAATTTGCAGCGAGCTTTTATCCCCTGAGCTACCACGACGTTTCCCGACAAACGATATTGTAAGCATGGCCACTATAGCAAATATATAATTATAAAATGAGGCAATATATGAGGAGGAGTCTATGGGATACCAATGTGATGAAAAATATTATTATCGCTTTTATTTAAACCAAATAAAGATTTTATATGAGATAATTAAAAAAGTTAAGTGACAATGGAAGTTAAAACACTATTTAACAGAGACTTAAATTTAGAGATTTCAGTCCATCATAAATTCTAGAAATTGGATCAGCTTAATCAGTTAGCGCCGCACAACACCACGTTCAATGTATAGTCGGTAAATATTAATTTGCGCTAAGCTGGATCAACTGCAGCGCTCATGTTCATTGTTCAAACTATGAAGACATTTAAAGAACAACCATATAACAAATTGCTTTGGTATTTTATTAAGAATAAAATATTAATAAAGTAATTGAAATATTTTTTATTCAAACGTAGCTTGTAAAGTAATGTTTTTTTAAATGTGGTAATGTAGTAAGTGTAAAATATTAATATTTTACATTTACTACATTAATTATAATTAATAATTTAGTAAATGTAGTATCCGAAGTCATTACTCACTGCGACAAAATTAGCTAACATTAATAAAGTTCTCCTTGCCAATTGTATTCACGGCAGCAACTACCACTTTTAAAAATTTACTTTTAATAAAATGTAAAGGTCAATTTCGAAGAACTTAAAAGTAATAAAGACTTAGACACGGTGTATCAAAGAATCAAGAGTCCAAATTCAGGATGTGTAATTATTTAATTTCATAATTTCAAAACTTCACTCCTATTTTAGGTGGCCATTTGAAAAGAAATTTTTCCCTTAAATTTATATGAGATAGTGGGACCCCACCCCTGAAGTATAAACTATTAATTGCAAAAAAAGTTATCAAAATCGGTTTACAAAAATTGACGAAGCTATAACATAACGTATAAAAAAAACATTGAGTCGAATTGGGAACCTTCTTTTTATTTAAAACGTTTAAAAATTACCGAATGGTGAGAGCATTCGGTAGTTTGAACGGTGAAGAAACAATGTAAAAAAATGTTTAAACGGCCTATAAATAATTATTTCATCACAAGGTTAGAATGTATGTATTTATATATATGTATGTTATTTATTGTAAACCACAAAATATGATAAAAAATAGATTAAAGAAAGTAAAACTTAGGAGATAGGTACAATACGGTGGTCTTTTATCGCTACAGAACGATCTCTTCGAGGCAACCTTAAGATTAAGGAAATAATTGAACTATTGGACAGTGGGAGGTGGTGTATATTATGATTATAATAAATTTATATACTAATGTAATATATTATTATAAAGAAAACTGTAACATAATACAAAATAAATAAATATAAGAAGCATACATAAAATTAAATAGTCAAATATAGGGTTAAAAAATACAATATGAAAACAAAATCAAAATTGATGAGTGATCATTACAGTGGTAGCTGGTAGCGATTTGTGACGTCAGTCTTAAACTTAGGCAGTGTCTTCGCACGATACATTTGCGGAGGAAGTTCGTTCCATAAGCAGATGGCCTTGATTATAAATTAATTATTAAAGTATTTAATTTGGTAAGAATGTGGCACGGGTATGAGTTCTCCGGCTGACCCTACAACTCTATCCGGTCTGGTCCTATCATGTCCTATATAAACTTAAAGTTTTCCTTCCAATAACTTAGGAGTCATCCTATGATTGAATAAAATACAGTACATAAGAGAAACAATTTCCAGTTTCAGATTCCAGTGAAGAGAATAGGTAACCACCTGAGCTTTAAACGGAATTCGGAGAATGGTATTATTGCATATTTGCACAAACCCAATATGAACCTAATAGCTAGTTGATCAGTTAGGGTCGAGGTCTAATATATATATTAAGGTATTGAGATTATTCAAATACAGGATACGGCTGGGTACTCTAGAGGTGTTTGTTTAAAGTTCGTGGTTGCAAGTGAACTACATGAGTAATTACTTATCTCTAGGTGGTATCAGTATAATGTTATTAAGAGCAACTTGGCTGACAGTGAGCGGCCGGCGAAGGTAGTTCGGGGATTCTAAGCTTCAGCAATACTGCCGCCGATATGCAGCGAAGGTGAAACAGAATTACGTTTTATTTAGTGAGAATTTCGCGTATGTATTAAATGAAGTTTAATTTCATTTAATACATCGACATTCAGAAAAATATTCCCGGGAATCCCGGAGCATGTCCATATTAACATTATCATTCAAGTCCATTGACCCAAAATGGCACTACCTATGTCGATCACTATACATAACACATCGTTTCGAATTTGAAGTTTGTTTGTGAATGTCTGTTAATTAAATTCCAATACAATTATTACTTTTCGTATGAATAGTGTACAATTATTGTCATAAACTGAAATATATTATAAACCTAATTTCGTGTAAACACATCGCTGATGAAGGTCGTCGTACCACAATCGCACTGTAAATAATTTAAAAAAGGCAATCGAAATCATACATCCTACGTAAAGACCTGATCAGTATACAAAACACTTATGACATTTACGTACTTTTTAAGGTAGATTTTAAAATATTTCCAAAAAGGACTTTAATTTCTTTTATTAATTTTTCTTTCATTAGATTAAAAAATAAAAGTTAAAAAGACTAGAAATTTAAGCCCAGCGCTAAGCTCCATCATCATCATCATCATTACATCCCTTCAAAAGTTCACTGCTGAACATAGGCCTCCCCCAAGTAATGCCACAAAGCACGGTCCTGAGCCACCTGCATCCATCGACTTCCTGCATATCTTACCGGGTCGTCACTCCATCTAGTGGGGGGTCGCCCTACACTACGCCTACCGGTACGAGGCTGCCACTCGAGAACCTTTCTTCCCCATTATCGGTTATCGGTTATTCGAGTTATATGGCCGGCCCATTATCACTTCAGCTTACTAATCCGTTGGGCTATGTCGGTCACTCTGATTTTACTGCGGATATCCTCATTTCTAAGTCTATAACGCAGAGAATCTCCGAGCATAGCACTCTCCATAGCTCGCTGAGCGACCTTGACCGTCCTCATACGGCCAGCAGTGAAGGAACACGTCTCAGATCCGTAAGTCATCACTGGCAACACGCACTGGTTGTACAATCTAGTTTTTAGAGATTGAGGTATACCTGACAAGAAGATATGTCAGCCGAGTTGAATCAGTCGATTGACCTCTCGGTCGAAGTTGGACTTACCTAGTCGGACTATTTGTCCCAGGTAAACGTACTCGTCAATAACTTCGAGCATAGTGCTCCCAACAACTACCTGACATGGACATTAAACATGATCTTTGTTTTGTCCATGTTCATCTTAAGACCTATCCGTACTCCATAAGCTCCGTAAGCCCCATACTCCATAGCTATTGCTGGGCGTATATTCAAATACATATGCGCAAGTCAAAATCTACGCGATGACTGTAGAACGGCGTAATATTTTACAATGTTCTCCCTCTGTGTGCGTGACTGTTTAAGAGCTATTAAGCAACTACGAGTTGCACGAATCATTTTGATACTAATATTGTTTATGATTTAGTTTTGTGTATTATAATTTCATTGTTAAAAATATCATGTATTAAATTTAAAATTGCGTATCTCTGATTGACATTGGCAGACTTTTTGAGTCTATAATAATTAATAATGAAAAATATGTTCAAATTGCAAAACATGTAGTATATACAAAATAGATATAAACGCTTTATATACTTTTATTCTGTTTCATAATATAAACATAATTCATCAAAATTATATTTCATTGGTGTCAGCGGGGATTGAACCCGGGACTTCGCGTTTACGGCGAATGCAAGTGCCCTCGAACTACCACGGCTCTTATATCTTTTATAGTGATAAATATCCATACAATTATAAATTAAATAAATAAATAATATAATTTAACAAATTATCATCCATTCGTTTACGTTATCAGTTTGTGTCAGCCCGAACGCTAGCGGCTACGAGAAAGTGATACATCCTACTGTTGGAGGACCCGGAATGATCGGATCGGATCCTAGTGCCTAGTGATGTGTCCCACACTCACACGGTCACGAGTTACCTCGTTGGAGGTCCTCGTGAGGGCAGTGTTACTCGAATTTGAACATTGAACCACCTCACTCACTCGTTCACTCACTCGCACATGTCTGACAATACAAATCGCGTCAAAGTGAGTGAGCGGACGACTCGATAAAAATAATTCAACTCGGTATCGAGACTATGTATTTTGCAGCAATATCTAAATGGGTGAGGTGTTGATACTGAGAAAAAAGATTAATAAACAACAAAAATAATTTTGGTATAATGGAATATCAAACAATAAAATCATCCGCATTTTTTTAATCGCCTACTTTTGCATTCACTAGGCAGCCAGTGATCGCAGATTTTATTTGCGTCCACTGAAATTGTCTGTTGTAACAACCATAGACATATTATAAATATAATTACTATGGTGACAACGTCTTGCTTTCAAAAAACTTTCGAAATGAGGCGACGCACCTTGTGACATGAATACGCCGACAATAATTCCTCACCTCAAATGAGGAGTAGGATAAAAAAATAAGAATATTTAACACATAAATTTAACATATTGAACATACAAATGTTAATAAAATAATGAAAATAAAAAAATTAGGTCGTAATAATGATTGTATTCGACCTGAAAAATAACTCTGGACGCACATATTCGCAAAATGCAAGGACGGATGTCTTCGTTCTTAAAAATATAATTTCGCTCTGCAGTGCACTTCATAAAAACTTCGAAAACCCATTTATAATGTATCATGTACCGAAGTTTTTTATTTTGTTTGAATGAACTTAAATCTTTGACCTTTTCAGTAAGCTATTCTAAGTTATTTTAATATTCTTCTTTAAAATCAATTTATAACCCTAAAAACATTTAAGGTCCTTAATCTCAAAACTTTTATAAGCACCTAATTTAAATAACGTTATTTCCGCTCTACGGGTAAATGAGTGGGCGTGTAATTAGTGATCTTATTCTTATTAATTGAAAAAAAAACTTGGAAATTAAACTTTATAGATACTAAGCGAATAGCACGATGCGATATTTAATGTTGTTGCGCGCCATAATTAATGCCAGGTATATGGCGGATAATTATTAGCGCCATCTGGTATCAAGCAGCAGAAATAGGAGCGTCAAGATCTTTCTAGAACTCTCCCACTAGCGCCATCTAGTATTGAATAGAAGAACTAAGCTGTCTAGAAAACTCCACACTAATTTTTGCTCCTAGTCGGTCAGGACCGGTATTTGCTGGAACATTCTAGATGTTTGGGTGGAAAAGGCCTATATAAAGCCGTTTGGGGCCGGGACTGGGGCGGTATTAAATTGGCGACATAAGCGAAGACTTCGGAGCGAAATAAATTAAACCAAAGTGTTAAGTGTGATTAATTATTAGTGTATTTTAAGTTTTTATTGGTGTTCGGTAATTAAAATGTCAATTTTGGTAATTTAATCGGCAGTTTTTATTGTCACGAACCCTAAGCTCATATTTGGTCATGCCGACAAGTGTTCTCGTCTCAGACTTAACATATTAAATTAAAGCTGAACCTAAATCATGCAAACTGAGACGATATTGTCCAAAGGCCGATTTCTAGATATGTTCACAAACTTTACAGATTTAAGATTTTCTCAACATTTTGCATCAAACACCCACATAAAGCGTAATTAATTAATACTTAATTAATACATCACATAATAGAATACAAACTGTGTATGCAATTAAGTTGATGCACACATCAGATATGTCAGGCGTCTAGAATTGAACTAATTTTAGTACACATGCAGAACCCATTGTTACGGTTGTCTCTCTCGTAACAATAGTTACAAAGCTCATCATCACATACAGTCCTTAAAGCATGCTGAACATAGGTCTCCCCAGGTATGCAGATTCTGAGACCTGATCAGACTTCTGATTGGGTGGGTGTAGTAGAGGATGAGAACCCTTCTTCCCCAACGTATAACTTCTCAACAAAGCTCAAACATCGGCAAATAAAAATTACTCACAATTTAACGCGATAAAATATTCTTATCATAATATAAAAAATCATTTTTACGGTATGTACCCAGTGTATGTAATGAATATTATTGTGAAGGCATTCCACCCCAGCCTTTAGTTTAAACGCATCTTTAGCCTTTAGTTATAGAATTTGTTGCAAATGTTCATAAATTGTAGTGTGCTCGGATCGCAATCGAAATAATGCTCCTCCCATCCATTCATCCATCATAACCTATAAATTCCCACCGCTGAACATCGACCTCCCTCATGGATTGCCTCGTGGAGGATTTTGCCATGGCACCCTTTCCATGCTGGTTGGCAACAGCAGTTTTTTTATTATTTTGAGTTTTTATGAGACTTCCTGTTTCATTTACCTTCTGCCGTCTCTCACGACACCCTCGATGATATGGAGTAGTGGATATTCTTACACCGCAACTACACTTGGCCAAAATTACAAAATAGCTTTTAAAAGTTGCAAGAGCTACCTTTGCGCGAATTATAAACGTAGCATCAGACCTTAACTGTTAAGCAATAACTTCCGATTAATCTGGTGGTACGCGAGCGTGATTATCATAACAGAGGTGATAGAAGATAGTAGTCAAAATAATTACATATAACTTTTTAACAACTTATTCAAATGTAGTTACAGTTTTATCTATTGCAACGCAACCTCAAAATATAATAGTAAATATGTAATTTATATTTGAGACGTGTTCCAAATATAACCTTACCTTTAACATGGTGAGTATCTTCTGCGAGAGTTCGTAGTCAAAGTTGGTATACTTGGAGTCGGTCATGTCGTATATGAACACCAGGCCCGCGCGTTGAGTTTCCAGCGACTGTAGCGCCACGTCTAATTGGTACACCACGCCCTAAACAATAAATTACACAAATAACTAAAAATAAAGTATTAATATTGTGAAAACCTAAAATATAGAACTTTGCAACTGATTAAACGGCCTTTTTGCCGCAAATACAATAGACAAGGTTTATTTTTGTGCACAGCAAGGTTTTGATAGGATTAATAAATGCCTTCAACAAAACATATTAACACTAAATTCGTACAAACACAAATATATTAATTTTTCTATGCGCAGCTCAACCCAGCATGTAACCATTTCAGAAACTTATACATATCAATGTTACCAGACGCAGAGTCTAAGTCTAAATGTATTTGTCCAGTTATTCTTAATACAAAGTTTCTTGTAAGAGTTAAAGCGCTTCTACACGGTCGGGACCAACCACCAAACGTCGTGACCTTGGTCGGGTCAACCGATTTTTGTATTCGTTCTACACGGTCGGGTGGTTGACTCAACTTGTCAGTTGTCTCTGGTATTTAAAGAGTAAAGACGTAAGGTAGTTACTTTTAAAAATGGCTCCTTGCTTTTCTATACGACAAAAAATCCGTTTAGATTTAACGTTTCTATGCAATGAAGATTAAAAAAAAGAAGAAAAAAAATTAAATGGATAAAATTGTGGCTGAAAGAGTGCATTACTTTAAACAAACATGACACGGTACTTTAAGACATGGTAAATCACAGTACAGTAACAAGAATTCGGTCAGGACCTCACGTTCGTTGCTTCCGTTCGTATCCATAGCGCCGTTAAACATCCGCCTGCGACGACTGCTAAGCGCGCACTGAGTAGACATGGGTAAGTAATGCGTGTAATATTACGCGAGTAATATTACTCGGAGAAGTGATGCAACATTACTCATTACGCGTCAAATCCAACCATTACATATCACTCACATCACCCGCCCGAAACCGCCAGAAAAACGTCGCGCGCGATCGGTGTCATTCGGGCATACTCGGGCTCTGTCGTGACGTACGTGAAACGCGCGAGCTTCGCGCTGCCTCGCGCTTGTGGTCCGCCAATTCCTGGAATTTCTCCGTGTAATGTATGCAATTTTGGTGTTTATTATAAATGTACAAAGGGCCATTTCTCCGTAATTATTTTTATCCATTAATGATTTAATGTAATAATAGGTTAGCTTATTTAGATTTGTTTGAGTCAGGCCAGTGGTCAGTCGGTCAGTGTTGTATTTTACTAATAGTAATTGCACGCGTACGTACGTTAGTTACGAGAGATAGTAAATTCGGAGTTAACTGGTCGTAATTAATTATTACGTACAGTAGGTATTGTATTAATAAAACTTTTTTCATCTTAAAACTATTTAATTAAAGACGAAGTATAAATACAAAGTGTAATATTAACCAAAAGTGTGTGTATATAAACTCTTTAGTTAGTGTTAAGCAGAGAATTTTACTTACAGTGCAGTGTAACACTAAATTAGATACTTAGCTAGGTATCTTTTTTGTGTACCTAGGTATTCACGTGTGACTATTAATTAGTGGTGAATTTGTTACCTAAAAAGTGAGAATATGCCATCAAAACGGAAATTTAGTCCTCTTTGGAACCATTTTGACAGCACGGAGCCGAAGAAAGCTAAATGCAACTATTGCTCAAAGATACTAACGTTATCTTCCAGTTCAATTGGGACCTTAAGTAGCCACATGAAAAAAGTCCATCCGACGGTAAATATCGCACCGAAAAGGCTTGAGTCAATAGATGAAAGCGAAGAAAATTCCAACAAGAATGTACAAGTGGCCACCACAAGTTCTACAATATCAGTGGTGACTACAACCACTTCTTCTGGGACCAGACCAACTGTAACAACAGCTAACATTATATCAGCTACAAAGGGTAAGATGGCCGCAACTACAGTAAAAGATTACATCGTAGTCAAAAACCTCTTCCACTAATTAGGACGCAACAGCTGGACGAGCAGCTAATAAAAATGATAGCCAAAGGCTATCATGCCTTCAGACTTGTGGAAGAGAAGGAATTCCAAAAATTCGTGGACATGCGTAATCCTTCATATAAATTGCCCACTCGTAAAACTCTTTCTGAAAGCCTTCTGTCCAAGTTATATAACAGGACGATCGAAAGTATGAAAAAAGAAGTTGGTGGTGAGTCAGCCACTGCCGTTTGCATTACTACTGATGGATGGCGCTCAGTAACGAATGATGATTATATTGGCATCACGGTCCATTTTATAGATCCCGAAACCCACATTTTACGTACTGTCATGATTGATTGTTTACAATTTAACGAGAGTCACACAATGATAAACATATCAGAATTTCTAAAAGAGAAATTTCGTGAATGGTGCATTGACCAGAAAATTTGCGCGATTGTCAGCGACAACGCGTCTAATATTCTGGGTGCCGTTCGAATCGGCGGGTGGCGTTCTATAAGCTGTTTCGCACATACTATCAACCTAGTTGTGAAGGACAGCCTAGAAATTATCGCTGATACCGTGATCAAGGTGAAAAATGTGGTGGAGTTCTTCAATAGAAGCATGCCTGCGCAGAGAAAACTTAAAGAGATACAGGAGCAAATGCATTTGGCACCACTGAAATTGAAACAAGACGTGTGCACTAGATGGAACTCTACGTACGATATGCTCAACCGGTTCCTGAAGATAAAAGAAGCTCTTATTGCTTCAATAGCAATCATGAGAGCCGAATTGACCCTGACGCCCAACGACTGGATGATTATTGAAAAATCCCTACCGATCTTGTCCATCTTCTACGAGGTGACTAATGAGGTTAGTGCTGAAAACTACGTGTCCGCATCCAAATATATAGTGCTGTGCAAACTAATGTACACACAAATTCAAAAATTTTCGAATGAAACCGTGGAAACCATTAAAGGACTTGTTTCTTTTTTTAAAACAGAACTTATGCATCGTTTCGGTGATATAGAAAAGAATATGTTGCTTAGGGAAGCCACAATACTGGACCCACGCTTCAAAAAATCTGGTTTCAGGGATATAAGAAACTTCGAAGCGGCGGCAGCCGATTTAAAATTAAAAATTGGGAGGATAGTTCTTTCAGACGAACGCCCTTTGCAACCAGCAGAGCCTGTCGAACCAACCCCAGGTTGCTCAAAAGTAAGCTCACTTTGGGAACTTTGATGAAGAAGTGGCACGCCAGGTACCCGAAAATCCGGTTGCTGCGGGTATAGTAGAATTCGACAAGTATATGAATGAGCCGCAAATCAACCGACACTGCGATCCATTATTATGGTGGAAAGAACGGAAAGCCATCTACCCACGCCTTCACTCACACATGCTAAAAAGACTGAATATAACAGCGACATCCGTACCATGTGAGCGGGTCTTTTCAAAAGCAGGGCTAACACTTAACGATAGAAGAACGCGCTTAACTACAAAAAAGTTAACGCAGTTAATGTTTATAAGCTGCAACTGAAGAAGTCAGATGAAATGTAAATAATATTGTAAAAACGTATCTTAAACTTGTCGATTTATGTATATAGTAAAAAAAAACGCTTCAAGCACAAAATAGAAGATTCTTGTAAATATAAAAAATAATGTACATAATGTATATAATGATCAAAAATCATTGTATATAAGTTGATTTTTAAATACGCCTTTCTTCAAACAATCGAAGATTGCCAGTCCTAAGCCTGGATGGAGCCCCTTTTTGTTATTTCGTTCGTTCGTGGGCCTAAGTATGAAGGAAAATCAACTTTCCACTCGTGGTTAAATATGCATAAATATATTCAACTGCATAACATACCTATTGCGGTCCGTGTACTATACATACATACATACCTACCGTACGTATATACTTACCTACCTACCTACTACTATACTACACGATATCACAGAATAAATAATAGTTACATACACACACATAAAACTTATTTGCTCAAAAAGAATGTTCGATATGATATTCACAATAATTACTTAAAACTTGTTTTGTTGCATTACTTCTCAAGTAATACGAGTGTCGTCCGTCAAATGTGATTGATAGATACCAGCACTATTGTCGGTACTCAGTTGCCTGTAATGCCGAAAACTCGAGTGATGTTTAGGGTGATGGTAATATCACAAAGTGATATCACTGTAACAAAAGTGATGTGTGATGTTGCATCACTTCTTCGGGTACCGTTTTGCGCATGTCTAGCACTGAGGCGCTCTCGTCGGCCGACAGCGTTCCACACGGTCGGCATCAACCACGGACCCAACGTGTCGTGAGGGATGCGGTCGCGACCAAGGCCGTCGGACTCAACCAAAATATTGGTCAGACAACCGATGTCTACACTGTCCATTTTTACATCAACCCGACCAAGGTCACGACGGTTGGTGGTTGACCGACCGTGTAGAAGGCCTATTATATAAAAGCTTCACCATGCTGGGCAGCAGCTTCATCAGCTTCTATCCATCCATTACAGCCTATCAAGAGCCCACTGCTGAACATAGACCTGCAATAGACTCCCCAATATTATATATTACAATATTTGCAATAGTTGCCACGTTGGACAAGCGGGTTAGCAACCGCAACCCAAATGTACTAACATTTCGAAATGAGGTTCCTCTGATCGGAGAAAAAACGGCGAAAGAAACGAATTCAAAAGTAATATATACAGAATCGTAATCGACAATAGATCTATCGGTAACTGAAGTGTGTTTTACGATGTACACAAAAAACGACGATTAAATGCCTGCTTTCCAGTAAGAAGGTTCTCCCGTTCTCTACATTAACCATACGAAACACAGCAGCGTTAAGCTGCTATATTACGCTGGTTTTCTGTGAGAGCGTGGTTCGTCCCCGGTCAAGCCGACCCATTCGTGCTACAACTATACTACTAATATAACTGCAGCATGGCTCTACCACGTAAAAATAACTCTATCATGTAAGGAAATAACTCTATCAACCTTTTTTTAGATCGCTTTCCTCCGTTATATTTTGCTATCAAAGCTAAAGATCCGATGGGCCAAATGGATCTCAAATCGTAACAGGTGAATTTGTATATGTCACTATGCCAATCACCACATACCTTACGCACAAATATCAATAACTACTCTTGGGAGTTATAAGATGTTAAATATCTCTTATATTTACGCGAACACTATACATGATTAAAACTACTTTTACGGATTTTATCGCGTTTATTTGACCATGGGTGCTGGAAAGCGCCGAAACGTCGGGAATTAAAAATAAAAGTAAATAAAAAGTAAAAATAAACGCGATAAAATCCGTAAAAGTAGTTTTAATAATGTTAAATGTCATTGGAATGTAGGTTGAGATGCTGTTACAAAATACACAAATGAAATGATATATATTAATTCTAACAGAAATATTAATTCTAACACGCCGCAATAACACATTGGGTTAATATAAGGCAACAGTAAAACCAAATCAAAATTAAGGAAATCGATTATTAGTTAAAACAATATACTGAATACGTATAGAATAGATAACATAATCGATATTTCGCTAAATAATCTATATCTAATAAGAAATAAATCGTAATAAAAAAGCCCTATCATCGCCAATCTGATGACAATATATCAGCTGAACATTATTAATAGGTTGACTAATTAAGTTTTAACATCCCGCACCTTGGGTGAGATTGGCGTTAATTAAACGATGAAGGCAATTACCGACAGTTTTCATCAGTCGAATACTGGCAAACAACCCTTATCGATTAAAACGTAATTAGCAAACAAACAATAAAACCTCGGTATTCTTTTCTTTCCTTTCAACTTCTGAAATAATTTAGCAAAAACGAAGACAGCCTGTACTAAAAAATTATGTCTACTTTGTTAATACAGCAGGTTTTATACAACAGAGACACATCCAAATTCAATAGTAAGTTACATATTTTGTAAACCTTGAAGGTTGAAGAATGCTTGCAGAATGAAATAACCTAACGTCGATTTTAGTGTAGTGGCGGTGTAAGGAATATCCACTAGCCCATATCGTTCGTGGGTGTCGTAAGAGGCGATAGAAGGACACTGAAAGAGAAGATGCCCATCTTCTTGATCACAACTCAAAATAATTACAAGCTGCGGTTGCCATATTATTAATTCGAAATACAAATGTGCTTTTAAATGGGGAGTAGTTGAGTTTTCTGAATTCCACTGTCTTTCTTGGAATAATTATTGACATTCCAAGTAGCCCACCCGTCAAGCTAGGCAAATATATCCCACATATGAGGCAATCTACAGAGGGCCACGTTCAGCAGTGGACTGTAATGGATGGATGGATCATTCTTGCTAAACTTATTTCTTAGAGTAGACTAGCGATCTGCCCCGTCTTCGCACTGGTGATATCTAGATTCTAAAACAGCGCCACCTACCGGGTCCAACTGTGTCGTTATGGCAGCGCAAAGCGAAATTTAGTTGCCAAGCAGCGACAGAGACCAGAAAAGCCACTGGAGGCAGCAAGCTTCGTGTACTCAATTTTCCCGGGTCGAGGGCATCGAGGGTCTCTGTTGCGAGGCTAATTATGAAAGCGCGCCTTTTGTTCTGTGGAGCCTTGCTTAAGGAAGCGAGAAATAAGGGAAAGTGGATGCCTTGTTCCCAAAAGGGGCCGATGTTGGTATAGCTGCGAATGCACGAAAAGTATGCGAAGACTTTATACGTGGTAAAGCCATGCTGCGGTTATATTGGTGGTATAATTGTAGCACGAATGGGTTGACTCGACCGGCGAAGGACCACGCTCTCACAGAATACCAGCGTAAATTAGTGGCTTAATACTGCTGTGTTTCGTATGGTGAGTATAGAGAACCAGAGACCCTTTTTACTGGAAACGAGGCATTCCATTTTGGTCATCACGGGTGACAACGCATCTGCATTTTGGTTTGTAATCGAGGATAGATGTAGACTTCTATGGGCCGCAGCAACCACTTACCATCAGGTAGACTGTGTGCCCGTATGTCAAACGATCTTATACAAAAAAAGATGCTCCATGAAAGAAATGAATGACTTAATTGTATACTTACTATAAATGTATAATTGCATACTACATTCAGTTTAACATCTTATGCGCAGATTCCAAATATATTCCGAAGATAACATGTGAATGCTGTTATACCTGCAATGTAGTCTGATGCGTAGTCTGTGTCGGGAAGTGCTTGTTGGCTGTGAACACTGCAATCGCCGCTCCTGTGGCATCGCGGGTAGGCTGCAGACAACACAAGTTTTTAAAATCAAAAGCAACGTTGTACTTAAATGTACGCGTAAATAGAAGTAAAACTTGTGTTCGTCGCTGTCAACATCCATTTTGTAACATTGCCATTTTACTTTAAAACATTCTGGGACTAAAAAGCGCTAAATATTAAGGATTAAAGATCATTATTATGTTGCCGTTTTAAAGGAGCGATCCACAGACATCTGAAAGCCACTTAAATTTTTTTTTGTTTTAATTCGGATTTGAATTAAATATGGAGGCCCTGAAAATTATTGTATTTTTAACGCAGCAGAGACAGCTCGCACTATCGATGCTGCGTATAACAAACGCACTGTGCGTATTTGAATTAAGCTCTTTAGTGGTGGAAACTTTTACTTGAAGGGTGTACCACGACTAACGTAAATAACGATGAATTAAAATTTAGAGAAACGTTTATGAGCATTTCTGCATAATATTACCATGTTGTCACCTCATCTAGTAGGGAGCCACACTAGAAAGGTGGAGAACTTTTCTTTCCCATTCGTTGTAGATTCTTCGAACTATACTATACCAGCAGATTGCTAGCTCAGCCCAATGATCTAATGGACTATGTCGGTTACGTTGGTTTTACAGCAGACATTCTCATTTCGAAGTCTATCACGCAATGAATCTTCGTGCATAGCCCTCAACATATCGTTGAGCAACCTTGAGTTTCCTCATACGGCCAGCGGACCACATCTCTAACACGCACAGCTAAAAGGACTGTAGCACCGTCCAAATTTCGACGAATTTAAAGGGTTTCTTATAGTCCACATATGCAAAACAAAATCTGAATGTGCTGAATGTACTCTATGGTCTTCTATACAATTTTTCGTAGTGTACGCATGTGGTTTATGGTAGCCTAAAGAGATTTTGGATTCTGCTACGATGTCTAGGAGAACTCAGCTCCGATCGCATTGACAGTTTCTACGTGCTTGTCATTCATATTATTCTATTTGTGTAACCGTGTAGTGGCAAAGATTTAAATAGTTAGATGCGCCCTTACCATAGTATGGCCACTCCGAAATGTGTCCATTTTCAATTGAGTGAGCTCACTCATTCGCAATCAGTGCTCATTTGTGCGACAGAGAAAGTATTATACACAATTTCTGTAAGATAATATGAGATGACACTATTGCATTAGCGTGCGCGCGTCAGCGTCTTGCAAACGAACACATTCAAAAATAATGCCACAGTTTTCAAGGTGAAGGCACATCTAACTATTTAAATCTTTGTGTAGTGGCGGTTAAGAATATCCACTACCCCACATCATCCCGTGGGTGTCGTAAGAGGGACAGAGGGGAACAAATCAGGAGATGGGAGCAGCGTCTTCCTAATAACTGCTAAAAATAAAAATAAATGTAGTTGCCAACCCGCTCGCCAAGCGTGGCAACTATGGCAAATATAACCCTATGAGACAATCTATTGGGGAGACCTATGTTCAGCAGTGGACTTTAATAGGCTGTTAAGGTGTAAGGTAAGGATATTTACTACAACTGATAACTTAAATATATTAGATAATCATAATCGACTCGATTGAGCAGTCTAATTGTTTAAACATGGCGCCGCCGGCTGCGGTTTGATTAGAAGCCCGCACGAAGCAAATATTTGTATGAACTATTAATATACCTAAATCTTTCTGGTTTATGTTTGACCATGTATCCAATATATATAAAATATTTATATGCCGAATATTATTTCCTACGCGTTTAAGTTTATTAAACATAGTGCTTTTGACGTGGTAAAGCCTTGTCGCAGCTATATTACTAGAATAGTTGTAGCACGAACGGGTCGGCTGAACCGGGGAAGAACCACACTCTCACGAAATACCAACGTAAAATAGCCGCTTAAGGCTGCTGAGTTTCATATGGTGAGTGTAGAGAACCGGAAACCCTTCTTACTGGAAACGCGGCATTCCATCTTAGTCCTCAGGGGTGACAACGCATTAACATTTTGATTCTTAATATAGATTGAAGATAAATGTAGATGTCTATGGACCACAGCATCCACTTGTAATGTAGTGGACTGTAAGCAAGTTTATCACCTCTTATCCTATAAAAAAGTAAACTAAAAACGATTAAAATGAAATTTGCATAACGTTGAATGTTGCACATAACCACCTATTCAATTACTATTTGAAAACACTTACTAAGCTTCATGATGGATAACAATTCATTAAATGAATCCGAGTTTTTAGCCGGCTTAATTTGCGGCGCGCATAGTCGCATAGTAAGTTAAAAAAGTTTGACCTAAATACAACGCGTGATTCAAACTTAGCACCCTTCAAAACCATTAAAATATGCTATATCACTAGACGAATATGAAAAATGGTGTGCAACAATAAAAATCGCAAATGTTATCGCTAATGAAAGCGGCGAAAGGCATGGAAATAAAATATGAATAATAATTTTACTAAATAAGATTAGAATATAAATTTATAAACTTGGAATCCTTTGCCGTGATGTGCTGTGAGCCGGTATGTACTGGGTTTTTACGTTTTTATCCAGTCTTTTCAAAGTTTCTTTAATATCTAGCAATAAATCACAAAAATATTTTGTAATAATTATTGTTGTCAGAAATGTGAGCAACATCATCAAACACTATGTTGTCAACATGCTGCCAAGATTATTCTGGAAGCATAGAACACAAAATACTTATTCTACAACTTAAGGTTTCCTGCATTGCTTTTCTAATCCAACGTCCCTCTGTAAGGACGATATTGACCAGCCGCAGCCTCTTCTTTATTAAAGTGTTTCACAGCAGTGTTAGGTACGATGGCTATTCTACGAGTAGTACAGAACTTAAGCTTGAATACGAGGGCGGCACTGAAAATTTCGAAGATCAAAGAAGTGACACATTACTATTTAAAAATGTATTTATTGCTTTTCGAAGTATTCTCAGCGAAATTTGACACATTTTTTCATACGATGGAACTAACCATTGAAGCAAACATTCCATTCGGAAGTTGGGGTCTCCAAAATGGCCGTTTTGTAGGCGTCCGCAGCTTCTTCAGGTGATGAAAATCTCTGTCCACGCAATTTATTCTTTATTTTAAGGAAAGTATAGAAATCATTAGGGCTTAGGTCGGGGCTGTACGGCGGATGGTCTAATAATTCTATGTTTTCTTGCTCTAAAAACTCTTTTGTTCTGTGTGCGGTGTGAGAACTCGCATTGTCGTGATGGAGGATGATGCGGCGGTTGCAGTTCTCTTTACGAAGTTCAGAAACGACCCGTGGCAAACAAATGCTAGTATACCATTCTGCATTAACCGTTCCCTCAAGAGGAATAGTCATAACATGGCCGGTTTTGGAGACAAACGTGGCCACCATTTTTTTTGCAACACTCCGTGAAGAACATTTTTTGTTGGCATAACTCATTTTCGAACAACCAAACTCGTGACTGGTTTTTTGTTTCGGGTTCGTACGCGTATATCCAGGACTCGTCACCTGATACGATGTTGTATACACAGCATTTGAGGATCTGCGTGGAAATCTCTCGAGAGTTCTGACGCACCAAGTAACGCGAGCCGCTTTTTGCTCTTCACAGAACGAATGCGGTATCCATCGGGAAAACAACTTTTTTACACCTAATTGTTCATGCAAGATTATTTGTATTTGACTCATGCCAATGTCTAAAGTTGCCTGAATTTCGCGGTATGTCACATGTCGATCTTCCTCAATCAGCTTACGCACAGCATCAACGTTTTCTTGGGTGACTGCAGTTTTTGGAACGACCTTGACGGGGATCATCACTGAGCTTGACACGTCCACGTTGAAAATTCAGCAAACCAGCGATAAATTGTGGTTTTGGATGGGGCTTCATCACCAAATGCAGAAATCATCCGGTCAACACACTGTTTTTGTGTTAAACCACTTCGAAAGTCATAATAGATCATCGCTCTTGAATTTTCTCGAGCCAATTCCATTTTTCTCAACGACTAAACAAGTTTGACAAAACCTTGTGACAAGACCGAGAATCTTTTTTTTAAATAAATAAATGGTATTCGATTTTTAAAACCATGGAGTTTTCAATTAAAAAGATTTTAATATGACAGGAACAGTGGAAATATTCCATTCCCGATACTTTTAGTGCAGCCAATGTAACCTATCCAACTGCAGAGCGAAGTAAGACAGAGTTATATCGCCGAAACTCTTCACCGCTTCATTAGAAAGAATTGTATAATTGGAACATGACATGAATTTTAGAGTTTATGTCCACATTTACGGAAATTTTTGAACAAGGCGCATAACGTAATTTATTATTCGAAACGCCAAATTAACTTACCAATATTGTAAATTTCCCGGTAGCAAGCTCTGTTTTAAGTGGATCTTCGAAGGGTTCGAACTTGGTGAGCCCCTCTCGCCTTCGCGTGGCCTCGTGCTGCCGCCACAAAGCGTGTGCCCGCGCAACGTCAAACTTGCGCGCGAACAGAAACCTGATGGCCGTCGCACGAGACACGCACGTAGCTCCCGCTTCACTGAGAGCGTCCAGAAACGCCTTTGTTGCCTGGAATTATAAGATAAAGTTATTTCACATATTTAAAAAAAGTACCTAATATTAAAAATAATGATTTGGGGGGTGAGAGGTGACATGCTTTTTTCAAATGATTACTTCACCTACCCGTCGATTGATATATAATGTTCTGGTGATCGACTGATGGCAAAAATCCAACAAATTAAAAACAATGCACTAAATTTTCATAGACTGTGACAATGAGAAGCATTACCAGAGCGAGAAAATTAACCAGTCCACTTGCTAAGCTGTGTTGTGTGTGTAAGTTGCTCGTTGAATGATAGCAATTCTTCTAAATTCTACCGGCTGACGAATTTTTGAAAAGGCCCAGCTGTCTAGCAATGGAAACTTATATCGCACAACAACGTAATAATTATTAGAAATGCTTAAATCCTCAAACTTCCATACTATTGCGTCAGGAAATCATCATCACTATTATAGCCCTTCACAAGTATACTGCGTAACAAAGAATACCACAAAGTACGGTACAAAGTCACCTGCATACATCGACTTCCTACATCTCTTACCAGGTCGTCACCCATCAAGTGGCCGGTTGCCCTACACTTCGCTTATATATATACAGTTATTTAATTTATTATTTGGAAATTGTATTTATTATGTTGATCATGTTTTCTTTTATAAACCTTGTCGCACCTCGTAAATAGTGTTCCCTACTTACTAAAAAAATAAGGTAAACCAGAAGAGTTTAGCATATGTAAATTAGGTGCCTGGTCAGCCGTACTTTGCTTCATTCATATCGAATTGCATCATTTTTTTAAATAGTTTCTTGGTAAAATGTTGATCGCTAAAGATATCTTCCTAATCGATTTCGAACGTGGCGAGTTTTGAAACGCTGCGTGATACTAGTTAGTGCGCAGATCATGTCATAGTGCCGTATTATACTATTGCTCAAAGGGACAGTCACTCGTCTTTCCCTACACTATTATTATTGTGTAAAATAAGACCAAATGGAATAGAAAAGGAACTAACTGACCTGAAGACCAATAATAATATGTACTTTTGCACATATTTTGGGTCATGCGAGATTTAAACCCTTCAATGAAGGAACAAAAAATTTAAGTCACTACTTTAAAGCCGGCATCCAGAGGCTATCTCAAAAAAGCTCAAACTCCACAATGTTAAAATTTATCTGTTATTCAAGATTGTCTCTAGATACCAGCCTAGGAGATAAAGCCTTTTTTTAAAACGATTCTAGGATGAGTTTTAGATTGCCTCCTCTCGAAAACACTATTTCAAGATAAGGTATATTAACTCATTAGTTCATTAACAAATAGCGAGTTTAAAAAATATCGTTCCAAGGGAGCTGGAATTATGCGTAAGCCTTAGGGCGGGTTCTACAATTACTCCAGCACGACTACGTCTTTCGCTGTGGATTAACTTTTTTTTTATTCGTCATTAATTATCACCAATTCATCACCAAATCATGGCAAAATAAAGTTCAGGATTTTGTTGTGAAGGGATCTGGCTTGAAGGACAAGACATTTTTAAAGGGTAATTAACATTAGCATCCGGAATTAAATCATCATATTAAACCTGCCTACTCCATTACCCAAGGTAATAAAGGCCCCTTCTCATTTGTGAGGGTTAGCGAGCAATTAGTCCACCGCGCCTCCAGTGCTTGTTGGCGGACTCCACATGTCCTCAAAATATTTCAATCCTCAGACACAGCTTTCCCCTCGATGATTTTCTTCACCGCCGAGCACAAACAAAAAAGAAAGAAAGAGAAAAATTGCAATTTCAAGCCGGACTTGCTCACGTACTTTGAGATTTACGGCAAGCATTTAGCTTGAGCTGCCACAGCTCATCAAAGAAAAGACTATTCGTAATTACCCTCAGTATATTTACAGTTTTTATAACGAATATGACAGGTATAGGTGTCATTATTCGAAGTATTTTTGTACAATACAATACGCATTTCATTCCTCAACTATAAACAAAGTCGCAAAAGGTAATGATACAATTTTATATATATACCAGATGTAAATTTCTTCCCAATCGCTAGTCAGTTCTTCAATATAGTCGATGAAAATCTTAATTTTTTTTTATTATACAACTATAACATTAACTATAAATATTTGTAAATACGAACTGTACCCGTAAAATTATTAGAAGTTTCTGGATGATAGCATTCTCCATCTTCCAGTATGGGGATTCCGTAGCCATAGGTGCGATATTTTTAAATATCGTTCTCGTTGACATAAAATATTACCAAACAGTTACAGATTTCACTACTCAGTCACACTTTCCTTGTCACTGAACCGATCCAACACAGTTCCTAGGCGAATCGTTACTTTGTAATTAATTACGGACCGAACACTAGTACAAAATAAATTAGTTACGGTCACAACAAAGCGAAATCACAAATGAAATTACAGATGGATCCATATTTTCTCGTTAATCTTACTTAGACTTTTAACATTATATTTAAATATCTTTGTGGACATAAAAAAGTGAGAGGACAATAAACCAAAATAGGAGTATACAAAAATATCCTAACATAGCTAATCTATAAGAAGGCAAAATCAGTCTCATTTTATTTTCTATTACTATGGTGACAGAGCTTTGCTCGACGTTAAAAAAAATTTCAGGGATTACACCTAACTAGAATAACTTTTAAACAAGTAAAAATTATAGCTAAGTTAGTTTTTCTAAGTAAAAAAATTCATGTGCAGTTTCCGAAAAACCTATTACATATAAACATACGTATATTTTTCTATTTTTTATTTAAATTATTAAATCGTTTGATAATATATCGATAAAACAATAATTTTCTGTAAAAGTACTGAAATCAAACATTTTTCCACCAAAATTTGACCTCAGGGCTAAAACCTCCTTACCCCGTAGATTGCCCCATAGAGTTGCCACGCTTGGCAACATTGCGCTTGCTTGGCGATTTGCTAAAAAGTATATATTCATAAAAATCCAAACTTAAACTCCGAGAAGAAAACATTTTATTAGTCTGTAATAACTTATTTTTCCCAGGTAGGGCCAAGTGGGCTAAAACCTAAAATACTAAAGAATAAAAAACAAATACTAACAAATTCCGGCGACATTACTGGATTCAAACTCGGGCACTTACACTGGTATACGACGTGTTACACCTAAGTATTAACCGTTAGGCTATTGAGAAGTCTCTATGACGAAATTGCCAATTATATTGCCCAGGGTATTAAAGTATGTAGCTTTGAGTATGAATACATGTATATAACAACTTTTTTCAGAAATGAAACATAATTCTTTAATCTTGTAAACGCCTATAATGTAAATTACATCGAAATGTATGTAGGTAGGTGGTAGAACTCCTGAATGTTGTGAGACTACTTTTCTGCCTAGGAGTACGTTTGGGTAAGTAGGTAACACTCAAGATCAATTAAACATAAAAGATTTTTCTAAAAGATGATCAATTAAACTAAGATCAATTAAATTATATTGATCAATTAAACGTAAAAGATCAATTAAACATAAAAGATCAATTAAAACCCGCATTAAAGAACATTAGCTGATGTGAAGAATCGACGCTCCGGGAAGTCTGCAGTCTGTGAACACGTACAAGATCCCCCGTCACAACATCAGATTTGATAGACCACAAATCCTCGCTAAAGAACACCGATTCCTTCCAAAGATGAAATCAAAAAACATCCTAATTTCAATAGAGAAGATGGCTGTGTGCTACCATCTGCTTGGGATCCTGTAATTAATAAAATTAAATCCCAACCCAAGTATACAACTGTAAGACTTCGAGATAATAAGTTCATAGTGCATAGATGGGAACAAAAATTAATAATTTTAATCTATGTTAACTGCGGTTAACTATGACATCTGGACGTTGAACATCTCAGTCCCCCCCCATGACCATGGGTGCTGTAAAGTGCTTGAAACGTCGGGTATATAAAAAAGTTAATAAACGTGATATAATCCCTATATTATTTAAAAGGTACCATACACTTAGCTATTAAACAGTAGCGCGTGCACTGCTGTGTTCCGGTCTCAACGGTATAGAGAGCCTATATAGTTACAGGTTGTGAAAAGTTCTACCTTAAGTTAGGACTGCACTAAGTGGAACTGCATCGCAGCGGAACTGAGCGACAGGACGCTTAATTTTTTGGTAAACCGCACTTGAACTTCAGCGGCGTTACTAAATATATATTCAGTAGCAAGGCAATCTCCGAGCAAGATGAACGACGAAATGGAAACAAGGTAGGACCGCACTAGGTAGAACTGCACCGCTGCGGAACTGAGCAACGCGAGTTGGTCTGTTGATCAACTTTGCCGCGCAGTTCTGCTGCAGTGTAGTTACATATAAAGAATACTTTGACACGCCGCTGGTCCTACCTTTAATCCTTATTCCCGCATCTGTAGCCTTCTTTATTTGAAGTTGGTTGCGGGTGTCCACGGGCTGCAGTAGCCCCTTACCATCAAGCAAGTAAACTTTAAGTTTATATGCTGCTTTAGTTTTATAAAAGAAGTCATCCATCTCAGCTGGACAGCGTTTTAGAGATTACAACTATAGAATACATAGGGTAAAACCACCAGTAACTGGCCACTTAAGCACTTTCACAAAGTCAGACTTTAATTATGTCAAAATAAGTTATTATATTAGATTTATTGCAATGCCACTAAATAATATGCACATTATTTTACATAATTCGGGATTTTAAAAGTAAAACAAAACAATATTTTGTATCAAATTTTAATAAAATCAAAAAACTATCACTTTTGGTAGTTACTGGCCACTAATTTTAGAAACTGGCCGTCATTAAACTATTAATTGGCCACATGAAATAAGCCTCTGTTTCATCCTACTATATGCAAAGGAATATAAAAAAAATAAACTTTAAACAAAACAACATTCATTATGTTAGACAATAAATCAAAATTTTACCCGTAATATTAATATGAGATCAAAAATAATACGACATAGGAACTTTCTTAATTCACACGAACAACAAATCAACAAGTTTAAAATTAATATA